TTACCTGTAGTATCTTCGTGTTCACTGTCTCATGGAAGCTGTAAAGTTTTCTAACGAGTTTCTTTCTCCTTTTCCTTGCATCACCATCTTCGGTCGTTGCATTCTTCCTCTTTTGCTCTTGTCTCGGCTCTAAGTTCTTCGTTAAAAGATCCATTCCTTCTGCTGTCCGCTTCAGTTTCAGCTCTACTTCTTTAGAATCCTTCTACTGTCTGCTTAAGTCTGAGCTCTACCACTTTAGAACTGTGAGCTCACTTCCTTCACTGTTTTTAAGTTTTCTAACGAGTTTACCTCGGTGGTGACCACCAAACAGACGGAGATGGTGGCTTACAGCCAGGACAATGCAGCAAGCGAGCAGAATCCACAGCTTTAGACAACAAGGGAGTCTCACTCTTCCTCGAGAATTACTTCCCCACAAATCCAGCGGACACTCAAGCCTGCCGTGACAACTCCCGGCCTCTATCTCAAGTTATAAGTGCCTGCCACAACGCTGCTGGAAATCGATGGGCGAATTTCCTGGCTGTGGATTTCTACAAGGTATGACCGTCTATCATTGCAATGCGCTTTCTTTCTCTCTTTCACCTTTATGTTTGTGACTCTAAAGTTGCTAGAGTTTTTTAGCTGTTTCCTTCTTTTTTTCTAATCGCTGCTGTGGATTTCCTCAGAGAAGTACTGGCGGAGGATCATTCCAAGCAGTAGACGTATTAAATGGGAACATTTTGTGTGGATGTGGTGATGTTCACGAGTGCCAGGTCAGTGTTTCATATCCATTTTCTTATTTCTTGCCTTTTGGTGTGCTTTCGTTGTTGCCTCACTGTTGTTACTTTGTTGTTGGCGTTCCCTCCTAGTTTTTTAGTTCTTTCTTTTCTTGTCTCTGCGTTTTCCATCATCTTCCAGGGTCCCGACGTATTACTTATAGTTTCCATCCAGATAGCTATGCTCTTTCTTTATCGTTGCTTTCCTTTTTTCATGATTAATCTTTGCGAGCTTTTTGCAGGCTGATCTCGCTCGAGGCGTTTGCAACACCACAAACACTCCGCAGGTGGCCCAAAACTCGGACGATGGAAGTCCAGACTCTCAGCAGCAGCAGCCATCGCAGCCCCGCTCGTTTCCTTCCACTTCTCCGCCACGAATCGCTCCTCCCATGATTGGTCTCCTCGTCCTTTTGCTGTGCAGCTGGAGTTTTCTCCACGACCAGCACTAGCTCCACCAAAAGTCTTTCTTGATTCATTCATTACGCAACAACGAACGTTTTGCGCCTTCGATTTCCATTGCTTCTTTCGCATTTTAACCTCTCGTTGTCAATATTTCTAATCCTCTCCACTACGGACGTGGTTTTCTTCGTTTTTGTTTTGTTCTTCCTCCATTTGGTTCTTATTTATGTACAAACAGAGACTTTGGATGTACAACATAGTCAAGAACATGCCATGCATGGCCTGGGCTTCTAAGTTTCGGTTGAGATCAAGCAACAAAATCCGAAACACACCAACACAAGATCAAGAAGAGCCGTAAGCAGTGCATCTTTTTTCTTCTTCCTTTGTCCTCACTTCCGCTGCTTCCACTTCCACATCCTTACAGCTCCAGCACAACATCTGTTACAAGCATAAACAGAAAAAGCAAAAATAAAAGAGAGAGAGAACCAAAAAAATATCAGCGAGAGGCCGGACGAACGAGAAGAAAAAAAAAAAGAGAGAGATGCGAGAAACTTACAATCGGAATCGGTCCGGATCCAATACTCTGGCTTGGCACATGTTTGCTGGTGGACTGGGTTTGGGTCCCCTGGAACAGAACACGCAGCACATCCGGTGCTCGGAGATGGTGACAGAGCAACCGAAGGTTTTACTCCTCCAGCTCCAACTCCTGCAAGCTCTTGCTTCTCGGCCTCCATGACCTCCACCTCGGCATCTCGCTCCTCCTCCTCCTCCTCGGTGTCTCCTTCTTCCACTTGCAAGCTCACGCAGGAGAAGAGAGACGGCGGCTTGGGTCTTCTCCTCGAGTTGCCGCTACTGCTGTGATTGCTACTGTGATGGCTATGGTGATTGTTATGGATGGCACGGGTTTCCAGGCTACTGTTCTTCTTGCTACTGTTCCGAGTGTCGCCAGTGATTTGCTGCTCGGGAAGTTTTTCTTCAGTCACAGGAGAAAGAAAAAAAAGCTTTTTTTTTCGTACCTTGTTCACGGGGCTGGAGTTTCCAAGGACGAGCTTCTTGAAGAGAGATAAGCTCTTGCTTTTCTTGCCGGGCTCGGGATGATCGTCTTGCGCAGGAGTGGTTTTGAAGCTGGGAGTGAGATGGGTGAGAGGATGGAGGAGTCGATCCAGCAGCTTAGATCTCTTGAGCAGCTTTGTTCCTCCAATGAGTGTGCTTGGATCTAGAGGAACGACTTTCTTGCTTCCATTGGCGCTTTGCTTGCGGAGAACTAGAGCTCCATTTTCTTCTTTCTCTTGGAGTTTTTCTTGCTCAACTTTGAGGCCATCTGGTTGGAATGACAGATTCGGCGTCACCTCGAAGAGCTCGATCTCTGGCTCCACGCCCGACACATCGTACAGTCCCAGCGTTCCAATCGCCAGCAATCCATACTCTTCGTGGTTGACAAAGATCTTGACGATCTCTCGCCGTTTTGACGATGGCTCGCTTGGATCCTGATCGAAGAACTGGTTGAGCTTGAGCAGCTTGGATTGCACGGCATGGACGGATTTCTTCAAGACTTGCTGCTGGTGCTGCCGCTGATTTTGCGGATTTTGGAGGCGAGGAAGAAGATCTACAAGAATTCAAACGAGAACTTTTTAGTTTTAAGTTGCCAAGGAACACAAAAAAAACTCTTCTTCTTCGATCTATCCTATGTCGGTGTCGGGGATTTCGAGCGAAACTCACCAGCTGCATTGGAGGCTGCCTGATCCTTGTTGGGCTTCCGGCTGATCCAATCAAACAACTAGAAATCCATCACTCCAAGCTCAGATCAGATCATCCAAGAAAGAAAAAACAACAAAAAGAATACCTTCATTTCCAAGGATAACAATTCCACAAGTGCTCGATTGATTGAAGTGACTGAAGAGCTTCCTTTCAGACCAAAGATCAAAGCTTTATATCACTTTGGAGCTCTCTTTCTCTTTCTCTCCCGGAAGGACCACTTTGTTCTTCGCGTGATAGATAGTGGCCAGATTGGGCGAGAGCGAGATATTAGTTCGCGAGTCCGGCTGGACGAGCAGCAAAGGAGAGAAAGAGATGTCTGTGAGTGGAAGGAAGATGGGAGTGGGAGAGAGATGCGAGAAAGATGGAGAAGGTATGGAAAAGATGGGACTTTAGAGATGAGCGAGCGAGCAGAGCAGTGTGTGGCGGACCAGCTCAAGACAGAGACCGGTTTTCGATGCTGGGACTTTTATAAATCCATGCTAGAAGTTACTACGCGGGTAGAAAGGAAATTCTTGGAAAAATCAAAGCTCACCATGGCTCGAGATTAACAAGATCACGCTTTCTTTTCTTCCATCTAGATCATTGCTTCCGTGGTTCTTTCGGTCGCCCAGGAAAGTTACTCGATACTTAAGGAGGGAATTGTTAGATCCGGTCCGCCAAAAGGGAGGATTGAAAGCACGACTGAAAGATGACGAGTGACCAACTTCACGACTGACACACGGGCTAGAACTTGTTCTTCGTCACATCTCTTTGGGCCCTTCCATTTCTCTTTCCTATTAGCTTAACTTCGAGATTTCTTGTCTTTCCTTTTTCTCAGTTTTCTCTCTACTTTCTACGATTTCGATCGATCGATCCCTCCTCGAAAAGACGAGGATTTTGTTCCAGCCTTAGTAAATGAAGACGAATCGCAAACAACGATGAACTTGACAGTTGTTTTGAAGATCCAGCTTTGATCGATAGATCTTTTTCCTCTCTTACCTTTTTTGACGTGATTTATTCGTGAGTCCTTCTCCACTAAAAAAAACCATTCTGGTTGGTTGGTGTCTCCATTTGACGTACTGCCACAAGGAATTTGATTCATCCTGCTCCCATTTTTCGAAAGAATTCGTCGGTGCTGAATCCAAAGCGAGGATGGCAAAGAAGAATTGACAAAAAAAAAAAAAATCTCAGGAAGATTGATCCGGTTTGAGGAGCTTTCCTTCCACGAGCATAAACTTGGGAGAATTTTGGATCTTCCACGCTTTCGTACGTACTTGGACGATCACTCTGGAACAATCGAGAGAAGCAATTAGTTTATCATGGATTCTCTTTGCCTTCAGAATTAAAAAGAGGCACCAACATGACCAGCCTTTCCACAAACTCCTTGTTTAATCTGCTCCCTCCGAACAGGTCTAAATTTTCTGGGAGATTGCTCGATCTATAAACAAAGCCGGCGATTCTAATCTTTTCGTTTCGAAATGGAATGAAAATCCTCGTACGCCTATGTAGCCCTGTTGTTGGTTTCCTGGATTGCCTTGCTGCCGATTTCTATCTCTTTCTCAAACTGTGTCGCGCTCTCGCCAGAAAACTCTTTCTGGGATTTGCGAGGTACTGCGACCGAGTGGATGCCAACCCGGTTTCACGTGGAGGAAACACTCGTTTTTGAGTTTTCATCTCCGGCCGAGGCCAACTTGCCCGATCGAGGAGTATAACTATACCGGGAGATACCGTACCCCAACTCCATGTGCTGGATATCTCTACGGTGGTGATCCGGTTACGTCACCCTTCCTTACGTAAGTTTGCGTTGTTTCCGAGATCCAGGCTCTTCATCTAAAGCTTTCAAGCCCAGACCTTCCATCCAAGAAACTATAGTTTACTCCGAGAATGGGCTAAAGTGGTGAAAATTCGGCCAGATTCTGTAGTTTTGGTGGATGACAAACCTACCAAGTCACAATCTCGATCCGGGCCGCAACGTGTCACCGTTCTTAATCTTTGTTCTTGCTGGACTCCTTAGCTTTTCAAACATACATTTCAAGATCCAGGAAACACTATGACTGATCCGCCAGTGTGGATGTAGATCTTCCTGGGAGAAGTAAGCTTTGCAGAGAGAAATCAACGAGCCATCGTCTCAAGGCGATTCCGGATCGCCAAAGTATTGGCCAGCAAACGATACAAAGTTCCATCCAACAAGGTGGGAGAGTTCAAGAGGTTCTTGACAGCTCTAGCGCCATACTCGGACTTGCTGTGGCTCCTGCACGCTGCGAGGAAGCACGTCCACTCCAACACATCGGGAACAAACGCCATGGTCTTGATAAGTTCCAGAGCTTCGTCGAGATACCCGGCCCGCCCAAGAAGATCGACCATGCAACAGTAGTGCTGCTTGGTGGGCTTAAGGTGGTAGTCCATTTGCATCGACACGAAGCTCCTCCAGCCAACGTAGAGCTTGCCTCCATGGCTGCAAGCGATGAGAAGCTCCAGGAAGCAAACCTCGTCCGCCATGTCCAGCAGTTTCATCGTTTCCGCCATGATCAAGGCTTTCTGGGTGTGCCCGTTTCGCGAATACGCAGCTAGCATTGGTGTCCATGAGACGAGGCTCTTGTCCGGGATTTGATCAAAGAGTTCCTTCGCTTTCCAGATATGCCCGTTCCGTGTGTACAGTGCGAGCATAATGTTCCAGGTTCCAGTGTCTTGCGCGGGCATCGAATAAAAAATACACTGTGATTGCTCAAAGTGATTGTGCATTGCGTTCACTGTGAGAATCGCATTCCAGGAAACAAGATCTCGCTCGGGCATATGATCAAAGACTTGAGTCGCTTCTTCTAGATACCCGTTGTGGGCATATACAGTGAGCATAGACGTCCATGTCACCAGGTTCTTTTCCGGCATTTTCAGAAACGTTTGCCGGGCGTCCTCTAGCAGGCCATTGTCCGCGTAAGCTGCCAGCATTGCTGTCCACGTTACTAGGCTATGCTGACTCATCGCGCCAAACATTGTCTTTGCCGACTGGATATGCCCGTTTCGGGCATATGCCAGGACCATTGTAGTCCAGGTCACCAGCGTCCGCTCCGGCATTTGAGAGAATATTCTCTCGCCATCTTTGAGAAACCCGTTGTCGGCGCATGCCAACAACATTGCATTCCACGAGATCTGGTTTCTCTGAGGCATGTTTTCAAATATCAGCTTCGCAGATTCAAAATAACCAGGATTCTGGGCATAAGTTGAGAGCAATGCGTTCCACGACACGAGGTTTTGCTCCGGCATGGCGTCAAATGTTTCTTTCGATTGATTTACATCACTGTAAACAGAATAGGCAGTGATCATGCTTGTCCACGAAACTAAGTTACGTTCCGGTAGATAATCGAACATCTCTTTCGCTTGCTGCAAATGCCCAGACGAGGCATACACAGAAATCATGGCATTGTATGAGACGAGGTTTCTCTCGGGCATTTCATCAAACATCGACTTGGTTTCATCAACAAAATCGTTCTCCGAGTAGACAGATAGCATCAAAGTCCACGTAAAAACATTCCTTTCGGGCATCTCGTCAAAAAGATGCTTGGCCTGGATAACATACCCGTTCCTGGCATATGCTGCTACCATGGCCGTCCAGCACACCAAATCCCTTTGAGGAATCTCATCAAACAGCATCTGTGCAAGATCAAGCTTTTTATTCTCGGAATATGCGACCAACACCGCCGTCCAGCAAGGAAGATTAGCTTGGGGCATCTCATGGAGCAAAGCCTCGGCCTGAAGAATATACCCGTGTTGGGCATATCCAGTCAGCATGGCCGTCCAGGTCACCATGTCCCTCGCGGGCATCGTCTCAAACACATCCCTGGCATCTTCCAAGCGCCCGTTCCTGGAATATGCCGTGAGCATGAGATTCCATGAGAAGGCATTCTTGGCGTCGATGGCATCGAATATTCGCCGGGCGGCATCCACGGCGCCACACCGACCGTACATCTCGATGAGCTTGTTCTGCATGAAGAGGTCGTGAGGGAAGTGGATCCGTACGGTAGTGGCCATCTCTTGGGACTGTGGGAGCGTATGGCACGCATTGAGACGCTCCAAGCAGGCATGCCTGTCCATACACTGGCATTGTATTTTAGGTTTAGGGCTTTTGAGTTCTTCGTGTCATGGCGGATTTCCTCACCTCAACGCATCGCGATCGGTGGATCTTCACAGTGCAGGACCTGGTAAGCGAGTGTTCCCGTGGATCTTCGAGCGAAATCTCTCTTGTTTAGGTGGAGAAAGCGTCCGCGGCCAATGCAAGAGCTGTCCAAGCGCTCCAGCAAGTAAGATTCTTTCAGTAACTCCTGCTTATGAGTGAGATTTCGTTCCAGCACGGTGCTACTCGCGTTGAAATCCAACCGGATGGATCATTGGCGTATCCTGGATCAGAGAATGGCGAGTTTATCTTCACTCCTCTTAGATTTTAGAAACGCTTGCTTCTTTTCAGGCGCTCCAAGTAAACTTCCCGAGCCTTTGAAGATTGAGGAAGAGCTGTTCATTCGAAGGTACTACGAGCACAAAATACAGCAAGTTTGCGGAGCTTTCTCCTTTCCAAATAAAATCCAGGTTCGTCTAGCAGTACTTCTGGTTTGATACAAAACCTACGTGTTTGTGTCCAGGCCACTGCTGTGCTCTATTTCAAGCGCTTTTACCTCTCTTGGTCTGTGATGGAGCACGATCCAAAGCATATAATGTAAGACCACCTTGCTGGTGTGAAAATGCTGCTTATACTTCGTTTATTTTCCAGGCTCACATGCATTTACATATCGTGTAAAGTGGAAGAGTTTCACGTCTCAGCCGAGGAGCTTGGTAAGGGAATCCAACAAGATCACCAAGTCATCCTAAAAAACGAATTAACGCTGTTACAGGTTCTTCAGACCGCATCATTCACGGCAGCTAATTCCTTGTTTTAACTTCAGGGTCTCAATTTCGACTTGATTGTATATGCTCCCTATCGATCCTTGGACGGCTTTGTTTTGGACATTCAGGCAAGCACGAAGATCCAATTATTGTTCGTTCCGTTCTTAAAGGCTAAGCTCGCAGAAATGGGCGGACGCTGCGAAGGATGAGAATGTCTCTCAGAAAATACTGGTACCTGCTGGATTATTTTCCCTTGTCATTTCTGACTTCGACTTATTATGTAGGACCTCCAAAGTGAAGCGATTCGAAAGGTGGACACAATGCTTCTGACGGACTGCCCGCTCCTCTTTCCTCCTGGACAGGTACTTGCGAAGCATCTTTAATGAAGTGCCATCTCATTTGTTGTTTTCTCTGTGAAGCTAGCTTTGGCAGCTCTGCGAAGCGCAAATGTTCAGGAAAGAGCAATAGACATGGAAAAGTAAGACTTTTAGTTTAAGGTGTTTTTATGCTTGAGGCCTTTGTCTCAGGTACCTGCGAGGGGTATGCGAACGGCAACAGCAGAAACACTCGTACTCGGAGCTCGTCGGAATGCTTAACCAAATAGCTGCACTGGTACGCCTTTCTCAAATTCTTTTGGGAGATTTCATTATAAGCATGTAGGTTGATGCTTCAAGGACACCTATCGAAGAGGAAGTAAGACGCATCGACAGGAAGCTAAAGTTTTGTAGAAATCCAGGACTACAAGACGAGTAAGTCTTTCTCCCCTCGTCTTTTATGCATTCTCTCTAATTTCTCCACCTGGCTCAGGAGTAAGAAACGGGACCGCAAGGGTAAGCACAAATCCAAGCGAACTCCTCAGCAAGAGACAATCTCGCCAATGTAAGCCAAGCTTTCGTTCATGTAGTCACCAAGTTACAAAACAACAGGGTCATGGGTGATACTGCCAGGGCTTGAGCTCAATCAACTTAGACAATTTTCTAGCGTCAGGTAAACAAAACCAGCCCTTTGGCAAAGTTCTCGATCGATGGTTTTTTGTCAAGTTACAGGAGTAGCACCGATGAATCTCAATCAATACATGTACAATCCAAACACCGCGGCGATCCCAAACATGTTATCGTTTTGGAAGGTATCCCTCGTGTAGTCATCCGTATCTTTGTCCCAGAAACATCTGGCCGCCATTTGCAGTCCCTGGCCTCGCGTCTCGCCAATGACTGCTTGTACCACGATCTTATATCTCTCGAAGTGAAACTCTGGAAGAACACCACATTCTGGTGGATCAAAGGCGCAAGTATGATCTTGGACCTTACCTTTGCAGCGATTCTTGACTTCGTCGGCAATCTCGCGAACCAAGTATGGAGCTTGCTCTCCATCGTACTGGACTCCTGTGAGCTTCTCCCGCAACACTTCGGTGATCACCTCTTTCACTTTGCCAGGAAGAAAGGATTTCTTTGGTATGTAAGGCAGCTTGCTTTGCACTACCACCTAAAAGAAGAAGAAATGTGGAGTTTGTGGAGGGCAAGGAATTTGAGCTTCCATACCCGAGTGTGTTTATCCTCTCCTTCGTGGAGCACCGCAAGCTTCTCAAGCACTTTCTCCATTCATTCCACTGTTAGGGTTAGGGCTGTTACAAGTAATCACGCCAGGTCACGCGCCACGTCAAGCACGCGTGGCATTTTATTTGCCAGCAAGTTTACAACAATTCGTGACGGCGTGGGACTTTTCTTTGTAGCCATCCAACGGTCGAGAGGAGAAACGAGGGTTTTAGTTTTAGGGCTCGTGGCGCTGGCAGGAATCCATCGCGCGACGATGGAAGCGCTGGCCTAGTCTGTAGCTCGCGCTCCTGCCGGCGATCGATTCAGGGCATTCGGGGCATTCTTTTCGATTCTAGATAGCATTGAGCGAGATATGGATCAGGGAGTGACGAGCACGCCACCGTCTCCATCGACCGCTGCGGCGGCGCCTCCGCTGGGCCAGAATGTCATTCCACTCGTGAACAAGCTCCAGGATATTTTCTCGCAATTAGGTAGCGCATCGACAATCGATCTTCCTCAGGTAGCCGTGGTTGGGAGCCAGAGCAGCGGCAAATCCAGCGTTCTCGAGGCTCTTGTCGGTCGGGATTTCTTGCCCCGGGGCTGTGATATTTGCACTCGCCGCCCGCTGGTGTTGCAGCTCGTCCAGACCACCAGGCGTGGCGATGAGGTTGTGGAATGGGGAGAATTTCTTCATCTGCCAAACAGGCGCTTCACGGATTTTACCGCAATCCGGAAGGAAATCCAGGTATTTTTTCTTTCTAGATGAATCGGAGAATCTAAACGTTTGTCTTGTGTAGGCTGAGACTGATCGGGAGCTGGGATCCAACAAGGGAATCTCAGATAAGCAGATAAGGCTGAAAATTTTCTCGCCAAAGGTTCTCAATATCACTTTGGTCGATCTGCCCGGCATCACCAAGGTCCCTGTCGGAGATCAACCCACGGACATTGAAGCTCGAATAAGAACCATGATCCTGTCTTACATCAAGCATGAGACGTGCATAATTCTAGCGGTTTCTCCTGCCAATGCCGACCTGGCCAATTCAGATGCGCTCCAAATGGCACGCATTGCGGATCCCGATGGTAAGCACATTCCATTCTAATTAAGCAGTCGATCCTAAGCTTTCTTCTTTTTGCGACACGATAGGCTCTCGGACCATTGGAGTCATCACTAAGGTGAAATTCTTTTAAAGTCAAAACAAGTTATTGGAGTTTAACAGTAGTTCTTGCTGTCAGCTTGATATCATGGACAGAGGCACTGATGCTCGCAACTTCCTTCTTGGGAGTGTTATTCCCTTACGCCTTGGTTACATTGGTGTCGTTAATCGTAGTCAAGAGGTAGGGCATACTTTCTGAGTTTGTCAAGGAGCGTCATTGGTCTTCTTCAATTTTGCAGGATATCACGTCCAATAGAAGCATACAGGACGCGCTTATGTACGAAGAGCAGTTCTTTCGCAGTCGACCGGTATGAATATCTGGTTCATCTGTTTCGCAAGCTAAGCGTTATGTTTAGGTATATCATAGCCTCTCGGATCGTTGCGGGATTCCACAACTAGCAAAGAAACTTAATCAGGTATCCTGAAATGCCTTACAGATTAGGACTGACGGGAATGATTGACAGATCCTAGTTCAACACATCCGAACCATTCTACCCGACCTCAAGGCTCGAATAAACACACAGATGGTTACACTTCAAAAAGAACTTGCAACGTACGGGGAGCTAACCGAATCGAAGGTTTGATGGTTGCGTGTATAGTCATTGGTATTAATTATCATGCAGAATGGCCAGGGGGTGCTGTTGTTGGGTATCATCACGAAGTACTCTCAAAGTACGTTAGACTGAAAGATTAATCTGCATTTTAATTCTTTTTCCTGCATTTCAGGTTTTTCATCAGTTGTGGATGGCAAAAACGAAGAGATGTCAACTGTTGAACTATCTGGGGGAGCTCGTATTCACTACATATTCCAATCAATTTTCGTCAAAAGCTTAGACGTGCGTTTTTTAGTTTTGTTATACGTCCTTCTAACATTTTTCTACAGGAGGTTGATCCATGTGACGATCTGACTGATGAAGATATCCGAACAGCCATTCAAAATGCCACTGGTCCAAAAAATGTTCTGTTTGTGCCCGAGGTACGCTATTCAGTATCTTGTTTTTCGTTGTCATTCGGAGTTTTTCCAGGTTCCTTTTGAGGTACTCGTTCGTCGGCAGATAGCTCGCTTGCTAGAACCAAGTTTGCAGTGTGCCAGATTTATCTACGACGAGCTTGTTAAGGTATGGCTGGATCAGATTTATCTGTTTTACATGATGCTGTTGGAATATAGATATCTCATCGCTGTGAAAGTTCGGAGCTGCAACGCTTTCCCGTTCTAAGACGCAATATCGAAGAGGTTATTGCAAGCTTTTTGCGGGAGGGACTTTCTCCTGCCGAGACTATGATCGGTCATCTAATTGAAATGGAGGTACAATTCTGTCTCTTTTTGTTTTTTTATTTCTGAATTCAACCGCATGTTTAAAACAGATGGATTACATCAATACTTCGCACCCGGGATTCATTGGAGGAAGCAAGGCCGTAGAACTCGCGTTGCAGCAACAACGTGGATCTGTGTTAACGGCTTCCAATATCAAATCCAAGGTACTTTTAATAATCTGTGTCCAGAAGAGATGTCTGATCCTTCTGTAGGACGTCGTGGTTGAGCTGGCGGAGAAGGGGGACAAAGGCGGCAAGGCTCGAGCAATCCTGGCAAGAAACAATCAATCTTCTCTTTTGGATCATGTATGCTCTAACAGCATTTTCGTTTGAGGCCTAACATGTGCATATGCGCAGGTTTCTAAACCAGCTAATCAACACGAGAAGCCACATCATACGGGTGAGTCAAGTTTTATCTATCAGAAACAAAAACTGAATTGTCTCTGTTAGAAGAAACAGGTATTCCGAGTGGTACAAGCTGGGGTATATCCTCAATTTTTGGCGATTCGCGTCCTAATGGCAAAGACGCGAATGTCACCCGAGTGTTCAATGAACCGATCCAAAGCCCGGAGCCTACTTACACCAGCATTCGGCTGAGAGAGGTGAGTCATTGCTATCTCTGAGCTCTGGCCATCTGATCGTGTGTCTTCACAGCCACCGCTGGTGTTGAGAGCTAGTGATGCGCAAACAGAGCAGGAATCAACTGAAATAGTTGTGACGCGTTTACTACTCAAGTCCTACTACGACATTGTGAGAAAGAACATACAAGATTCCGTGCCAAAGGCGATCATGCACTTCTTGGTGCGTATGCTGTCACCTTACCATTGCAAGTGGTACCTAAGGTTTTCTGTTACAGGTTAACCACGCCAAACGTGAGCTCCACAATGTCTTCATAAGAAAGCTGTACAGGTATAAGAAACGAACTGTTGGTCAAGTTTATTCACATTTCTAGCAGGGAGGCGATGTTTGAAGAGCTTCTACAAGAAAGGGAGGAGATAGCGATAAAGCGAAAGCGCTGCAAGGAGGTCCTGAAAGTTCTCCAGCAAGCTGCATGGGTAAAGAACAAAAAATGTCTTAACGCTCTTCACTGATCAATACTTGTGTTTCAGACGATCGAGGAACTTCCTCTAGAGTATGAGTTTCCCAGTCGGGCAACTTTATCTGCCAGTGACGCCACCGGTTTGCCTTCGAGACTAGGAGGAGTGCCCGCGGTAAGCAATGAGTTTTACAGCATGGGATCACCCAAGGCTAGCAAACCAAGGAAGTCATCTTCTTTGGATTCCAGTGGATTGCCAAATAGCAACCTGGGAAATGGTTCCATTTATCCCACAATCAAGGGATAGGAGCCGAGCCAGGAGGTGCGTATTCTTCTATCAAAGAGGTGTACAGGAGGATAACTGTTTTGAGCTTAGCAATAACAATCAGACTTGACGAAGAATATGCGGTGGTGTGCGGATAAGAAAGGCATGGCAACAATGTGTGCTTGTTTTGCAGGAACTAGACGAGTAGCAGACACTGGATTCACGTTCTCGTTTCCAGTAGCTCCTTCCAAGCAGGTATTCTGGATCTGGAATACTTGCTTGGTGTTTTGTTTTACTCGTTCTCTTTTCCTTGCAGAGAGTTCGCTTGGTTGTGGCAGCAGCAACCGATGATGGTGGTGCGAAGTCGACAAAGAGCGATGAGAACTCATCGCCACCAGCTGCTGCTGCCCCGCCGAAGCCTTCCAGTTAAGTCCTTGTCTAGAATTCTTCTCGAATCCGCTCATGGTTTCCTTGGATTGTTACTAGTGAAAAAAGGCCAAATCGTGAGAGTCGACAAGGAGAAGTATCTCAACAGCATAAATGTATGTATCCATTAGCTATTATTTTCTTGGTTTTGAGCTATCTTTGTGTTATAGTATCTATCAGTCGGGCACCCCACGTACTACAAAGGCCTGGATTACATCTACGAGGATAGGGGAGAGGTGAGCGCTCGGGGATTTGAAACTACTTGAAAATACTTCAAGCTCTCTTTGCTTTCAGATTTTGGACATAAGACAGTTTGAAACTGGTGAATATGCACTGGTAAGTATGGTTTTTTTCCAACGAATTAATACTGATGCCAGTGATGTTTTTTTTTGGCATTCAGATTGCTTGGGCTGGAATACCAACTTCTCCTGCTTGGCTTCCAACTGATATGCTGATAAAAGTAAAACTTTTTTTTTTCTCTCTCTTTAGTTTTCTCAATTGCTCATTGGTGATTATTGAATTATCAGTCTGAAAAGCTGTCCTACAGAAGAACTTAGAAGAACTTGAATGCTAATATTTGAAAATGGTGCTCTTCTTCAATTTGGTTGGATCTTTCAAGGCCTTCAATTTAATGCATGTGTTATACTGTTAACTAAACACAAGATTCCTTTTCAATGTTGATATGACACACAGAAGCAGTCTTCTCTCATGGAGCGTCATGCTTGGAACATACTGCCGCAATAATCAAACTGATCGAGCAATCTCTCTTTTCAATCTCATGCCCAGGCATGACACAGCCTTGTGTAATTTGCTTCTTTCCGCAATTGCCCAGACGGGGGATTTGGTCAAAAGCAAAGAGTTCTTTGAGAGCATGGCATCGCGTGATATCATCTCTTGGACAGCAATGGCACAAGCTCTTTCAAACATGAACGAGATCTTTCTGGCAACTCTTGTGTTCGAAAGAATGCCCGAATGGAACATTGTCGCCTGGAACTTGATCACGGCAGCTCTTGTTCAAAACGGGGAATTCGAAAAGTCGAAACAAATGTTTGATAGGATGCCCAGGAGGAATGTTGTAAGCTGGACAGCAATGGCGTCGGCCTCAGGAATCGATTATCACTGCGAGTTTTGCCAGAAAATGCCCATGCACGACACCATTGCGTACAACTCAATGATTGCAGCAATGGGTTCGGGTGGCCAACTGTGCGAAGCTGAGAAAATCTTTGAGAAAATGCCAGAGAGAAATATCATCAGCTGGAACTCAATGCTTTCTTGTTATACCCAAGCTCGGTATCTGTGTAGAGCTAAATGCCTCTTTGACAAGATGCCAAGAACAAACGAGATCTCCTGGACTTCAATTCTCCAGGCATTTGAAAAGAGCGGAGATATTGAGCAGGTAAAAGCTCTATTTGATGAAGCGCCCATGAGAGATCTTCGTTTCTTCACCACGGTCATTGCAGCATATGCCTTCAAAGGGTACCTTTTATATGCAAAGAAGACTTTTGACTTGATGCCATCTCACGACGGATTTGCACTCACTGCTCTCATCGTCGCTATCGCGCAGTCGGGTCAACCGGTTGACACAAAGTCAATGTTTGACCGCTTGGTTTGCAGGAGCTGCGTAGCCTGGACGGCCTTGATTCATGGTTATGCCCGTTTGGGGCATCTTCGTGACGCTGAAGACACGTTCCAACGAATGCCATTGCGGGATCTACACTCGTGGAGCCTGATGATCGTGTCATACGAGCGGAACGAGAAGCTGGAGGAGGCACGGAGAGCTTTTGGCGAGATGCCCGAGCACGATGAAGTGTCTTGGAACACCATGCTGGCAGCGAGTTTTAGGATTGGCGATACCGTCGATTGTTTGGAAAAGCTTGTTGCGAGCATGCCAAAGTCTCTGTCAGGGTGCTGGGTTCTCATAGCTGCCTGGTCCAAGCACGGCCAGACGGAGAATGCAAAGAAGATCTTTGATGAGAGCCTCGCAAGAGGTGAGATCGATGGCTACTGTTGGAATGCGATGCTTGGAGCTTATGTCCAGAATGGACAGGGTTTGGAAGCCATAGAGATATTCCGAGAGATGATTTGCCATGGTGCGAAACCAGACGAGGCATCGTTTCTGAATCTCTTCACGGCGTGTAGTCAAGCTGGGTTGCTAGAGGAGAGTCGGGACAATTTCGTGTCGATGCTGCAGGACCATATGATGAAACCAACGAGGGAGCATTTCGGAGTGATGATGGATTCATTGGCGAGGAATGGCAGGCTCGAGGAAGCCAAAGAAGTGGCCGAGGACATGCCTTTCAAGCCCGACAGCGTGACTTGCAGAATTCTGCTGGGTGGCTGCAAGCTACACAGAGATGAGGGGCTCGCAAAGGCAGCTGGAGAGAGCGCCATTAGATCCGCAGCTCAAGAAAAGTCGTCAGCAAATTACGTGATCCTTTCCAGCGTGTATCAATTTGCCAATTCTAGTTTGTAGGAGTTTTTCTGAAGGTTTTGCCGAGATTTGAATTCGGGTTTACTAACGAAACCATTTCATATCTCCGGTTCTAATTATGCATACAGACCTTATACTTAGGATATGCTAATATAGTCATTGATTGTGAAGATCTTCTCCCCTTGTATGCCTGCCTGATAAAAGGGGATATATTATGCTCTGTCTCTTAAAATGAACAAGTGCCGAGAGTGGCACCAGTGCCTAGATAGATCATGTGTGTGTGTGTCTGTTCTTGGATCCCTTTCTCTCCGTTACTCTCTGTTACACGCTCTCAGTTACCTAAAGCTATGTTGGACATCTCTGGTGTACCTGGAAGCACAAGCAATCGATCCCTAGAGCAAGCGATTGAATTTCTTCTTCATTACCGTAGCTTGGATGCCCGCCCGGGAGCGCTGCCGCGACCGCGCCTGGAATATTTCGATCTCTGCATGGAAATTTGCAAGATGGCGCAATCGATCTAATGCATTCAAGCTAGTTACCGCTTGGATGCACGCACAGCGGAAGATCACCACGCACTGCTGCAACAGTGCCTGGAATATTTCGAATTTCCAACGCAACGATTAGCATTCTACCACATACTATCGCATCCAAGCTAGCTACCGCTTGGTCGCACTAGATACCCCTTGGACGCATGACACCGCCGCCGAGATTTCCCCCCAACTAGTACAGAGGTAATGCATTAGACGGCCTCATTCTACCACAGCTGGTAAGTTTTTCCATTTCTGTGTGAAACTGTAAATATTAGTTGTGACAGGCAACTTCGTTGGGTAGCGTTTAGTTTTTCTTGGACCAAACATGGGGGACTACAAGCCCCCACGTCCGGAAACTCCCTCCATGTACCATGCTCTAAACATGCTGGTAATGACTTGCATTGAAGCTGCCTTTGTTTGTTCTCATAGACTAGTTTGCAGATACCCCCTGGTTGCCCCACGGCTTCAGATGCCATGATGCTGGGAACAGAGATGGTGACACAACCCGATCTTCTAAAGCTCATTGGTGCCGTCTAGGCGCCCCTTCGCATCATTGGCCAACATCTGTGTTTTCACTGGTGTAACATTCCAACACCAGAGGAGTTCTATGCTATGCTAGCTTCTGGATATGCGTATGGCTCGTCAAATATTCCCAGGGAAACAGTTGCTGCCGATCTCAAATGAGTGCTAGAGCACATTGAAGAGTTCGTGCCTTGTCTTTTAAATATTATATATTTTAGATGTTTAAATAATAGATAAAAAATTAAAAATAAATTATTTTATTGAATTTAAATTAGTGTTATTAACTTGAAATATGCTTGAATATACTTGGGAGTTTTTTTTACATATAAAATACGATGTTAAAAAACAAAAAAAAATTCATTAGGAAAGCAAAAACATAGTGCCTAATTTAGTGGTACACATAATTTTTAGCTTTAATTTTTTATTTCCTGACTTTAACCACTAAGAACATTATAAGAAGAGTTTATAATGGCTCTCAAAATTTTCATTACTATATGTGATAATGCATACTAACATAATCTCTTAAATCACACTTTGTTGATAGTAAGTTTTAATTCTCTTATTATTTTGTTCACTTTTAAATTTTTATCTTTGACTAAGCTAATGGATCATTCTTAAGGTTTGTGGGAAGATTTTCCTTTGTTTCTAAAATAATCAGATCATTTGGAATATACAAGAATGGTATTGACTAACTTATAAATTTTTTTTTTTAAAAACCCATATGCATTTATATAAATAATCTTTTACTGACATAATATTATATATTTTAGATGTTTAAATAATAGATAAAAATATTTTTTAAAAATATTTTATTGAATTTAAATTAGTGTTATTAACTTGAAATATGCTTGAATATTTTTTTATATATGGAATATGATGTTAAAAAACAAAAAATAAATCATTAATGTTGACACTTTCACACAAAAATGGAAAAGCTTACCAATAGGAACATCCCCATCCTTTAGAAGGTGCACTGGCCATAAGCAATATGATGGCTAGTCCAGAGTGCTAGACTGCTAGCCTCGAGAGGCCTCTGGTCACTGCGTGTACATAGTGCACGAGCTGGCTGGAAGAAAATTTTGACAAGTAAAGCAATGGAAGTGACTTCCACTTCATTACCGTTCTACTTGGATGTACTGCTGTGATAGCTTCAGTAAGCCTGGAAGCAAACTTCCAGTGAGCGATTGATGCCTACTTCATTACCGGACTGTGCCTGAAATATTTAGATCGCTTTAATTTTCCAACACAAGATTCATTCTTGTTGGAAGAACGGCTGCTGAGACCACGCCTGGAATGTTTCAAGCGCTACAAATTTCCAGCGCGAGATGCTAGATTTCCAATAACCCTGTTAACATATTCAGTATAACAGAGAATAGCAAAGAGGTAACAGACACAATGGAACATGAGCCAAGAACACACACACACGAGTCGCGACCATCTAGCTCGTGCTTGTTGTGCTTTAAAGCAAGGAATATCCAAAGCATCTCATTTTTTAGAGAGAGAAAGAGAGAGTACCAAAATATATTTATTCCTAATAAAAAGACTATAAACCTTCGTTCGTGTTTACAGAAATCTACACAAAAAAACCACCACAAACCTTGTACCACCTTTTCCCACTTCGGTGATAGAGCGAGAGAAGCACAAGGAGAAAGAGAGCGAGAAAAAAGAGAGTAGCTCCCACCTAGCAGTTGATACCGCATTGCTGAAGGTTTGGCCCCTTGGTCTTTGGAAGGAATGGATCGATCCTGACCCACAGCAGCGAGAAGATGGAGGCGAGGAGAACCGACCACACGACGACAATGGTGGGCGTCCTGTTTTGCCGTCCCATGAGCCCCTTGAGGAAGGGATACAAGTGGACGATCACCCAGAAGGCGAAGAAGATCTTCCCAAACAGCGGCCCCCACGACTGGTATCCGTTGTTGATGGCGTCGGAGATCCCCGCCACCACTCCGATCATGTTGATGACGAGCAGAGTGGTGGGAGGGATGAGCAGCGTCGTCCACTTGAACGCGTAGAGCTCGCCGAATTCTTCGTCGTCCGAGGTCTTGGATGTGACCGTGAAGTTCGTGTCGATACCGGCCAGCACCTTGAGGAGACCCTGGAAGACTGCGAACAAGTGCGCAGAGACGCCACCAATGACCCAGAACTGCTCGTTCCTCCACCACTCATCGATCCCGACGCCGCTCCACCGCATCTCCAGGATACCCGTCGCGAAGATGGAGATGAAGAGCGAGATGAAGAAGAGACTCGCGAAGTTACTGATCTGGAGCCAGCAACAAGGACAACCAAGTTAGAAACAAGAGTTTTGTGATTGACAATGCTTCTTCTTCTTACCTCTGGGATGATGAACTTGTTGGTCAGCAAGCACACGGCGGGGAGAGTACAGTACGCGAGCAGCGGAATGGAGGTGAGGGGATAGACGATGGTGTTGATGTACGCTACTCGTTCCAGAAACTTGAGGCCGCCGCCATAGCCATACCATATCGGGCAATGCCTGCTAAGCATAATCTCCACGGATCCCAGAGCCCACCGCAGCACCTGGTTGAGACGATCTGACAGGTTGATTGGAGCTGATCCCTTGAATGCTGCTCGAGGAGGCATGCAGTAGATTGACCGCCACCCGCGGGCATGCATCTTAAACCCTGTCAAGATATCTTCCGTGACTGAACCATAGATCCATCCAATCTGAGAGAGAAACAAGACGAAACGACCAAGATAAGTTCTCGGTTGAATTCAAGTATTACCACTATACCTCTTTTCCCCAATCGGTCTTGTCCTCGTAGCCGCAACTAATGACATGGATTGCTTCTTTCAGCAGTGCTGCTGGAGAAGCAGCCTCTGGAACGCCACCATTTTCAGCCAGTGTTGAAGCAATGAACACGGACGACTGGCCAAATCTCTTCTCGAAGCTCTTCTGGGACATGATGGCCGACTTCTCGTTTTCATATCCTGCGTAAGAAGATGGTAAGTAAGTCGAGTGCTCTCGACAGCCGTTATTACCTTCCAAGCCTTCTTCAATGCCTTCCAAACTGAAGGCTGAGACGTTGGACTCGGTCCTGTTGAGCTTCTTTTTGTCCGAGTCCATTCTCTTGGTCTTGGAGGCCTTGGACTTCTTACGAGGTCCACAGCAACACGAGCTCTTCTTGGACGAGTTGTTCTTCACCGGTGGTTCATATCCATATAAGGCCTGCCTGCGGAACACACATCCTGTACCGACGTACACGGGGCCTTGAACACCATCCAAGCCTCTCAAGTTGATCTGGAAGCCAAAAAACGAACTTGTTCAATCAAAAGAAAGACTGTGAAAAAGTAAGAAGTTGCTTACATCAAAGAAGACAGTGTTTCTGTTGGCATATCGATCATGAATATCAATGCCATCGAACCTCTGAGGGAATTGGACGTAGCACACACGCTTCCCAACCAGAGGATCCATCATGAAGCACATTGCTTCCCGCAAGGCCTTGCTGTTATTGATGTAGTGATCACAATCCAGATTCAACAAGAATGGAGCATTTGTAAGAACAGCCGAGACTCGGACCTGGGATCAAGCCAATGGTAATGTAAAAAGAAGATTCTACAGCAACTTACCAATGAGTTCATTGCACCGGCCTTCTTGTGGTGATTGAAGCCAGGTCGTTTCTCTCTTGAGACGTATACTAAACGAGGCAGCTCGTTACCATCTGTGTCATGTCCTCCACTGTGGCCGAGGAAGACCTGCATGTTCCAAATTACAATAAACTGGACTTTCAGAAAATCGAAACAAACCTGGATCATTCCTGGATGATCTCTCGTGTTGTTCCCTGGCCAGGGTGTTCCATCCTGCATTGTCCAACCTTCTTCAGGCATCTTATGTGCCTTGGCGACAAGAGCATTGATCCGCACTTTGAATTCTTCGTATTCTCTCTGCAAAGTTTTCATGACGTCAATGAAGAGTTGAAAAGGAACTTCATTCGCACCTTCATCGCACGACGATCTTTCACAAATGTCGGCTGGACTTTGTCTTTAAGGTAGTCGATCTTCTGAGCAAAGTACATCTCTGGAGCTCGAGGCTCGATGCTGAACTTCTTGCAAAACGGCACCCATTTACGTGCAAACTCGGATGTTTCTGCCAGTGCCTCGAATGTCAACATGGCTGCACCATCGTCAGACACGTAGCATGACACTTTGTCTACGGGATAGTCGACTGCGAGAATGGAGAGCACTGTGTTGGCTGTAACCAGCGGCGGCTCCTTCAGAGGATCCACGGTACTCACGTAGATATCCACTGAAGATAGCTGGGACTCGCCATCTCTCTCGTATCTGACAGTATGTCATGAGAAAAAGAGGGCAAGACAGAAGGAATATATGTACCTCAGAGAGAGTCGATCCAAATAAGTTTCACGATTGATCGGAAACCACTTTGGGAACTGATCCAGGATCCAAGAGAAGGCAAACCAAATTTCGCAAATAACCGAGGTGAGCCAAAGTCCGTAGGCGTTCTTAACGGGGTTGAGGATTCGATAGCGCAAGAAAATTCCCAGAACAGCCAGTCGGATGATGATAATCATTCGGTAAGGATTGATCTTGCTGGAAGCAATTGGAATCTTCCTCGACAATGGCTGACGCGATTCATCCGTCCTGAGAGTTTAAGATCAGTCAGTCGGTAAAGTGTTCAGAAGAAAGAATTTAAAAGCTTACAGTGGCGCATCTGGACCGTCAGCCCCGTAGTCACCGCCACCTTTACCGTCTGAGAAATGCTGAGCACCTTCAGTCATCATGATGGACATTTTCTCCTGCTTGTGTCTCCAGCTTTCGAGTCGCTCCTTCCAAGCCACACTTCCATAGCCGTAGGCAGACGGATCCTTCGTCGGATCCATAGACCTCACTAGAAAAGGAAATAGACAATGCTTAGAATGATATCACTGGACAGGGAATTATCACCTGAGAAGTCATCCGACATAGGATGAACACGTTTATGGCTTGGAATGACCAGTGCATGGTGTTCTGGGGGTATCTCATTGGGATCCACGCCCTGAGGATACAATCAAGCAATCATTGATCAATACATTTGTTATGGTTGATATGTCCCTACAAGTACCTCTTGACCATTGGTGAGAAGAGGAAGTCCCGGTGTAACAACGTGAACATTCTCCTCGTCGCCACGTCCATAGCTCATGTGCCCCTGGAGCATTTCCTCGGTCGTTTGCTGCTGAGGAAGCGCCTTAAATTCATTGTCCAAGTCGTCGACGTCGTCTTCTTCCTCGTCACCCTCCACTCTCGGACTCCCTGTGTGTGAATCATCCACACGAGTTATGGAAGGTTCGATACAAAACGAAGTCAAAGAAAGAAAAACTAGAAAGAAGTTGTCCGAAGAGTTGTGATCAATATTAAAGACTGACCAAGAACGAGAATTCACGAGCTAGTGGCATTGCTCCTAAGAAACAAGCAGAGAAAGAAGATCAAAGTACCTTTCTGGCGCTTGTAGCGTGATTTGCACTGGGGGCACGACTGGTTGCCATCTTTGCGCTCGTACTCGTAGCAAGGACGGCAGACCGGGAAGCCACATTCGTTGCAGGCGACGAACAAATCGCCATTCGCGCTCACGCCCACCTCGTCGCCACAAATCTGGCACATCTCGCTGTTGACGCTGTTGAGCGGCTTCACCTGCGAGCACCAAATTCCCCCTCCCTCACGTAAGAAATCGCCAAAATCCCCAAAACCTCAGCCGAAATATTTCAAAACAAGGAAGCCAAGAACGATCCAATCGCAGCCAATGCACGACCAATTCGAGCAATCGAAGGGATCGCGGGAGATCCAGCATCGCGATGCAGGCAAAACACCGCGGTAGCAAGCTAGCAGCCAAAGAATCCGAGCGAAATATCGCGATTCCAGACGCGCAAGAAAGGGATTGGAAGGATTACCCCGTCGCCCGGGATGACCACCAGCTGATTCATCTGGTGAGATCCAGCAATGAGACCTGCATTTGCCTCCATCGCCGCCGCCGCCGCCGCCGCTCGATCCAAGAATCAGGAAGCCCTGCCGCTCTACCAAGCCGGCGCCATGATCATCCAAGAGGAGGAGGAGGCAGAGGAGGCGCAATTCCGCGAGAGAGAAGAGGAGGAGGAGGGGTTTGAAAAAGAAGAGGAGGAGGAGACGATGTGCGGGCACCAACCGGGGGGCCCGGCCGGCCTCACGACCCATCACCGACGATACCCTACGATTACAAACGATTACAACACTCCACTAACCATACCCTCCATCCTCAAGGTAATAAAACCATAGCTCTTGTCACACATTCTTTTCACTCTCTCAAGGTAATAAAACCATAGCTCTTGTCACACATTCTTTTCACTCTCTCAAGGTAATAAAACCATAGCTCTTGTCACACATTCTTTTCACTCTCTCAAGGTAATAAAACCATAGCTTTTGTCACACCTTTTCGCTTTCACTAATAAACCACCGCTTTGTCTTTGTTTGTGCCTCTCACTCTCTCGTCCAAGCTATCGCCACCTCTTTTTTTTTTTCTTCGCTAGTCACTCTCACAGACACTATTTTGTGTCTAACCTCCATTACTTTGGTCGATTAAGTAGCCTGTCAAGACGAACGAGTGTTTAGCTTTTCTAGTTTTTCTAGAACGTAGCTTTACGCGACTAGTTCTTCGTCTTCCATTGCTGGATTGGATCTAAAGGCGCCCAGTCCTGGCGGGCATGGCGTCGCTTTCCAACGTCCAACAAACAACTCGAGAGCCATCGCTGTTGGATCTGTCCATTGCTTTCTAGCACAAGCGTATTCTTGCTTCCGTTGCTCGCTCGCAATCACCCAGCGACCGCTCACAACAAAACAAAATGTGTGCGTTTAAAACTCCGAAAAGAAAAGCGAGAAAATAAATTCAAGGGAAATATTTCAGAAAACCAGCACTGATCTGAGCTACCAAGAACTTGAAAATGAAGAAAAAAGAAAGAAAGGAAAACACCCGCCAAGCACGTCTCAGCATGAAGTCACCCAAAGGGGTCCTTCTCACTTTAGAAAAGTTTTATAGTGTTGAAATCGATGCCCTGCAGTTGCCGCACATACGTCGGGCATCTTCACAAGACGCGATGCTGGATTCTCACTGTACTCCAGCACCACAGGGAGAAACAATAAAAAAAATCCCATGCACGACGATCGATCGATTTCTAGAGTCTCTAGATCATTCAAGTGAAAAAGTATCGTCGGCTATGTACACAACACGGAGAAGCTTGCCAAGGACGAGGTACTAGTATACACTTCTTTCAATTTTCATAAGACGTATGCGCTCTTTCTTTTGGAATTGAATCTACGAACTAGTGTTTTCTTGCCACCCTGTTTCTAAAAGCTGTTCCTTGGCTGCATTGCCGAAGTTCTTCTCAAGGAAGAGTTCTAGAAATGTTGTAAATGTTTCTAGTTCGCGACATTCAACAATGAATCTCCTTTCATCGATTGCTCTCATTTCCGGCCTTTCCAGAAACAAAAATACCTTGCATACCGAATACCTTGCATTGGCAATGCTTTGTGAAGACAGCATCTGCTAGCTTGCTTGGCGAGGCAATCCGTGAGCGATAACAAAATTTGTGTCCAACGACCTCTTTTATGTGTTGAGAGCAAATTCCGAGCTGCTGAATTGATGGATAGTGCCAGCGCAGAAGTGAGTAAAAGCTTGCAATCAAATATGTGCATATACGTGTGCATTGTTCTAAATCTGAGGTGCCTAATGACAAACATAAGATCCCAACATGATATCTAATACCAAACTATTTATTTATATATTCTTTGACAAGGATGTAGCACCTTGTGTTTGTCAAGAATGAAACCATACCCATTGTGAAATCCTACCTTCACAAACGGGTGTTGAGGAAATTTCAATGTCTTTTTAAGCTCAAGAAATTGAAACTCCTTCAACTAGTTTCTCCCAGGTTCTATGTCTATAGTGGTCAAAGTCCTATGCTTCTTAGTTGGACTATGCAGTAAAGTAGTATCTATAATGTGGCTTTAGTTGACGGAGATTTCAGAATATACTTTGGAGAAAGTTTATAAATTATTAGAATTTACTAGAATATTCAATAGCATATTTTAGGTATTTAAAATAGTATATTTTATTAATAGTTAAATCTAATATTTATTATAATTAATATGGATAATTAGCTTCAATAAACATAGATATCAACCTCTCTTAGGATTCTGAAGCATTTATATGTATAGATTATTATACTTTAAAATTCAAACAAGTTCATTCCACAAAAGCTTAAGCTTACATTTTATTTAGAACAGTAAAATAAAAAAATCTTAAATGCTCAGCTTAATCCCTTGCTTCTTATTGCTCACAGCTAAACATGTGAAAGGCTATGATTCAAGTGGTTTAAAAAGCTAGTGTCTCTTCCATTGCTTGCAAGTACTTGCCTGCACTAGAATCAAAGTTTTTTCTAAAGGATCTTAATGATCAATTGAGGTTACAGGGTCTAGAATGTCTCAAAGATAAAGAGTTTATTGATTTAAACTGATGCAGAAAAGAAAAAATAAAAAAATTAGCTCATGATCAATTAATCATAACCATTTTTTTTAAAAAAAAAGGGATAATAATGTAAAGGAAATAGTTATGGGATGAGATTTATCATTATAAATCTTTAAAACCTTAAGAGATAAATAAGGATAGAATAGCCACTATAAACTCTATCATTAAATAATTACCTCTTTTCCAAAATATTCCCTAACAAACACCAATGTCATGCAATTAGTTGTATTTCAAAGAAAAGAAAAGAAAAGAAAAGAGAAATAACCCTCTACCTTTAAATCATAATGAACATAACCACTAAATGCATGAGGCTTAATCCTGATGAACTTGTTTAAACAAGAATATCTACAAACCAAACTATACAACCTTTAGATGAGTAAGAAGTACCACTACAAAAAATGCAATAATACATTTGTGAAGGGATGTGAGTAGGATCTAGCTTGTGGTATAGCAAGCCAACACAGTAAGCTGATCTCCTCCTCCGAGTAGCAATTGGTGATTCCAGCACTCTTGCATCAATTCTCTGGAGCTGTAGCAATCTAGAGCAGCACAAGAGTATTCATGCATGGATGATCAACAATGGAGGGAACCTTCTTTGGCAATCCCTTGGTCCAGAATTTTTGGGAGCAGTGGCAGCATTGACAACACATAAGCCAAATCCATGACCGAAATTTCTTCTCATGGAAAATCTTGCTCACAACATATGCCTAGAATGGGTGAATGATGCTCATGATGCACTGCTTGGATTGATGCCTGCCCACAACACTATTGTATGGATGACTATTATGGAAAGGGCGGCCCTTGTAAAATGTGGAATGGCATCCTAGAACATGATGATATACGGTGAATGGCCATCACAGCAAGAGAGCTCAACTCGTGCTCCTGGATGGAATCTACCCAAACAAATCCACTCTCATGAATCGAGGGAGCTTTGCTAGTGTTTGATCAAAGAGACCAAGCTCCAGTGTGATGAGCTTCGCTAACTCAAGGGTGATCTATAGAGGCAAGATCTTTAAGAGGATCCGGGCTGACAAGACTCTCATAGCTGGAAACACCATGCTCTGGGCTTACACATGAAATGATTGCTCGGTGGAAGCCCACAAGTTCTTCAAGGGAATGGCTCGTTGGGATGTTGTCTTCTTCTCTCGAGCTTTGAGGCTGCTTGTAGCGCATGTGGTTTTTACCCTTTATCCTATGGTGATTTACTATAGGATAACACTGGAACCTAAACCCTCCATGTGCCACATGTCATATGCCACATAACACATGCCACGTGTCCAAAGGACAATGAGTTTCAGGGCCTTGGGCCACTGAACGAAAGAATGGTGCCAAACTCCCAAGCATGAGGCTAAGGAATAAAGGAACCGGACCATGGAGCAACTTCTGAGCGTACAACCTAATGAGCGAAGGGATAGGAGCATAAAGCGACTTGGAACAGTCCTAAAGCATTTAACATCCCAATGCCAAGATCAGCATGCAAAACGGAGCCAAACAGAGTTTGGCCCTATTTCAACATACCGGTGGCCTAACGTGAGAACATGGGTACTCCACTAGTTAGCATGGTGTGGACAGACACAAAACAAGGATAGGCACGCAAGGGGGAGTTAAACTATGCCTCAGGTTAGTTGACCATGCTCGACCTACCCACTATCCTACTATACATTTGGAACCCCCTACAGCTCCCCCCCCCCCCCCTCCCCCCCGCGCATTGAGGAACACATGCTTTGGGCTTTCACCCCAAGCCTCTCTTAGTATTAGGAGTTAGTCTTTGGGACAAGCTTAAAACTTACTAAATATAGAATAGTGCTAGAATGTGAATTTGGACACGGGACGAACACTATTGTGTTTAAGCCAATCTCTACATTCCGTAGATATGCCAAATGAGCAAATCTAGACACTTTCCATAAATAACATTTGGGACCGAAATGAGACTAACACAAAAGGCATGATAGCAAGGGTGTTTGGTAGACATGATATGCTATCATCTAGCGATATTGAGGGACTAATCTCAATATGCGAGGGTTCTTATCAAGTTAGTGCAAGACAGAGCAAAAAAGAACTAAGAGCTAAGCTGAGTATGCTCAGCTAGAAACACATAAAAGTTCCTACCTTATGTCCATCTGGCTAAGTACAGGTGCTAAGCCCAGTAAACTAACAATTGAACAAGAGGGGTTAACAAAGGGAAGCAGTAATACTGACCTCTTGCTGTCGTGTCAGTAAGGAAATAGTATTTGTAAGGACTGACTGACAAATAACTTTCAATACCCAAAGTCACATTCGTGACACTCTCCCCCCTTAGGGAAGATCAATGTCCTTGTCGATGTATACTCAAGTCTAAACCACCGCCAAGGAAACAACTCCAGAAAAAGTTTATGGTGATTACACTATATGAGAAAAGTACCAACTTAAATGAGTTAGGAGGCAACCTCTATGTCTAACATAGATGCGCTACCAACTTAGACACCTTTCAGCCGTCGCCGACAAGGAAATGACCAACAGAGTCAGCCACCCTTGTTGCTCTAGGTGTCACCCAACTTACAAAAGTGTGATATGCCCTTGCTCGTAGGGACATAGAGAGAGAAGTTAAAGGCCCCAAC